GTGAGAAACACAACAGTTACCATCAGGACATATAAAGGGCTTATACTGTTACCATCAGGACATATAAAGGGTTTATACTGTTACCATCAGGACATATAAAGAGCTTATACTGTTACCATCAGGACATATAAAGAGCTTATACTGTTACCATCAGGACATATAAAGAGCTTATACTGTTACCATCAGGACATATAAAGGGTTTATATACTGTTACCATCAGGACATATAAAGAGCTTATACTGTTACCATCAGGACATATAAAGGGCTTATACTGTTACCATCAGAACATCCACAGAGGGTCAGCTTTTACAGTGACGTCACGCAGAGGGCGCTAGCGATTACCTTCAGGAGCGATAAGGGCGTCCGGCAGCAGAATCTCACAGACAAAGTACTTCGTGTAGGCGCAGGGGTCCTGCTGCCAGCTCTGCGAGGTCGCCGCGAGGTCGAGGTCGAGCGACATGCACGTGTTGTCCTGGATCCTAATCGCGAGCACGTCCGTCTTGATGAACTTCTGCAGGAGCGCGCCGCCGTCGTCGCAGCGGTGGTAGACCGGATCGTGGGCGGTGAGGAAGCGAGCGCAGATCCACGCGTCACGGATCCTGCAGCCAGCCAGCGCACAGAGGCGTGTCAGCGGGCGTGTGCGTGCGTGCGTGCAGGTGCGCGTGTGCGTGTGTGCGTGTGTGCGTGAGTGAGTGGATACGTGTGTGTGGGTGCGTGTGCGCGTGTGTCTGTGTGTGTGTGTGTGCGTCCGTGCGTGCGTGCAGCGCGTGTGTGTGCGCGCGTCTCTGTGTGTGTCTGTGTTTGTGTGCGTGCATGTATACGCGTGCGTGCGTGCGTGTGTGTGTGCGTGTGTGCGTGCGTGCGTGCGTGTGTGTGTGTTTCTTGTCTGTCTGTGTTTGTGTGCACGTGTGCGTGCGTATATACACGTGCGTGCGGCGCGCGTGTGTGCGCACGTCTCTGTGTGTGTCTAGCTGTGTTTGTGTGCGTGCATGTATACGCGTGCGTGCGTGCGTGCACATACTCACTCGGGCAGCGTCGTGATGTTCAGGTTATCGAGGAGCCACGCGTTAAGGGCGCTGCTGTCGACCACCGCCATGCGGGCCGTACCCTGCGTCGGCCAGGCTGCACACTCTACCATCGCGTCGTCAAACGACATCCAGTAGCTTCGCCACGAGAAACAGCGGCCCGTCGCCACGCCGGCCGGCGTCACGTACTCTGTGTACTCAGGGTACGGACACGCGGGCACTGCCAGGGAGAGAGAAACACGCGGATGTTAGCCGGCGCCATCTATCGGTCACCAGCGGAATGATTTCGATGACGAGTAACGTTGAGTTACGGATCTCTATATGTTAATTTATAGCTTTATAGTTAATGTATTATATAGAGAGAGATCAGTGCATTGAGACACTGATCTCGATATAGCTTTATAGTTAATATATATATAGAGAGATCAGTGCATTGAGTTCGTTGGTGAATCAGAAGGAGTGACTAGGTGGCAGCACCGGTCAGCAGTGACAGCGCCAGCCGGTGAGCTTTGCGCGGTTGTCAACAGGTGGCGCTACTTACCCGTCGGTAGCGCTGTCGTTGTTGGCATCATCGGCTGCAACGTCGTCGGCAGAACTGGAAGAAAACCGTGCGAAAATGCATGAACAGATTCATCATTGTTGAGAGCAGGTCATGGCAGATATATATATATATATATATATATATACATCGTGGCAGATATGACAAGAAAACAATAATGAATCCTTTACGACCGACGATAATGAAAATTAAATGCATAACACATCATATGTACATAGCTAGAGTATAAGCCTATATGTGGTACCTTTATAACGCATTATACCGTATGTACATAGCTAGAGTATAAGCATGGTACCTATGAGACCAGGGAGTAGCAGGCTCAGCTCGGACTGTCGCAGCGGCCACGGCCAGAAGGCTAATTCATCGTAGACGCCATCAGTGAAATGCTCGTATTCATCTACCTCTGTTGAGGAGAGAGAGAGAGAGAAGACACCTTCGTGAAATATCATAACTAACCCACACCCTCCCCTACCATCAGCCTACGGAACTATACCCACACCCTCCCCCACCCTCACCCACATGGAGCCACACACCTACCCTCCCCTACCATCTCCCACATGGAGCCACACACACACCCTCCCCCACCATCACCCCATACACACACCCTCTCCCACCCTCACATGAAACCATCCACACACACCCTCACCCTCACCCCATGAAACCATACATATCCAATCCCCCAACCTTCACCCTATGAACCCATACACATCCCATCCCTAACCCTAACCCTAACCATCACCCCATGAAACCATACACATCCTATCCCCAACCCTCACCCTATGAAGCCATACACATCCTATCCCCAACCCTCACCCTATGAAGCCATACACATCCCATCCCCAACCCTCACCCTATGAACCCATACACATCCCATCCCCAACCCTCACCCTATGAAGCCATACACATCCTATCACCAACCCTCACCCTATGAAGCCATACACATCCCATCCCTAACCCTAACCCTATCCCTAACCCTCACCCTATGAAGCCATACTACATTTCTCCCCGTGAAGCTGTGCTCACCGGCGGTTTCGTTGGCAGGAGGATGGACCCTGCAGCAGCCTAGCAGCAGATGCTCGGGAGGCTGCACGAGATAGTCCTCCAGACTCTTGGCAAACTCGATGCCAGTGTACAGCAGAGAGAAGGGTTTCTGCGTGCGTGCGACCAGGTCTCCGTTCACGTACAGCTACAACGTACAACAACAACAACAACAATAATAATAACAACAACAACAACAACAACTCGATGCCAGCGTACTGCAGAGAGAAGAGTTTCTGCATGCGCGCAACCAGGTCTCCGTTCACGTTCAGCTGCAACGTATAACAACAATAATAATAACAACAACAACAACAACAACAACAACAACAACAATAACAACAACTACGATACGCTATTGTTGAACTGGATCTGGATCTGGATAGTTTACTGCGTAGCCCACGGTTACGTGGATAATAACGCAGGGCTATAGCTAGCCATGGGTGTGACCTAGCTTGGGTAAAGCCAGGTAGTTAGCCTTTTGCCGAATGGCACTGAGGGTGGTCACAGCCAGAGTTTTTCGCGCCCTCCGTGGTTCTTTTACGTCCCCATTGGCCTTAGTATTACTGGAGATGGGACCGCCATTTTACGTGGTCATCCGAGCCACGGGAGATTCACAGTCTCCATTGTTGAAAGCCAGGTTTTTACATCTTGAGAAAATTCACTGCCCTTGTTGAGTAGCGGTTCACGTACAATAACAACAACAGAAAGATTTAGCATGTTCTCACTTATCCGGCATACACACCAACTATACCACATACTCCTATTCTATTGTTCCTTCTCGTATTTCCAGTTTTGGATGGTCAGGTAGTGGAACATGTGACTTCCCGGACTCCAACACTCACCCGCAGGGTATTAGTCAGTAATGAGTATTGTGAGTGCAGAAAAAATATTTGGGAGTGCAATTTTTATGTGTCTCAGCCATGACCGCCGTAGGCGATCACGGGTAGGGGGAGAGTATGAGAGTGGTTCCCCCCGGCAAATTTAAAAATTTAAAAAAATTTGGCCGTGCAGTTTCAAAACTGACCGTGCAAATCACGGCTGCACGGCTCGCTGGCTAATACGGCTCAT